TGGCAGAATTATTTTTACTTCTGCCATAAGTGCAGCCTTGTACTAGCATTAATAAATAATTGATGGTTCACTCTAGCAGTCCAAACGCTGTAGAGGCTCATTAACTGCACAGTCCTGTAGTTCAGAGTTTTGAACAGGCTGTGTTCCAGATGCCATTAATCTGTGATTCTGTTTGCACTACTAGCTTTGGGCATTTTGTTTTAATAATAACATCCAACACTCATGTCTACATTTGTAAATGATTTGAAATTAATTCAACTTTTTAACCAAATGAAACAAAACTTCAATAATTAAGTTGTTTTTCAGGGATAATGAAAGCATATCGGAGCCTTGGCTTCTCCCAGTGGCTTCAGAGCTGGCTGAAGAGTAATCCAGTTACCATGTAGTTTTAAAATACTGTAGTGCTTAAAATAAAACTTTCTTCTTGAATTTTAATATAACAATAATATAATAATCGTTGTATTTAATATAGTGCCTCATCATGTCGTCGAGACATCTCAAAGTACTTCACAGAGTCTTACTTAAGGGTAGAATTTAAGAGTGTGTTTTATATTATAATAGGACGATGGCCTTGGTCTGATAATAATGATTATTTTAGAGCTGACTGCTCAAATGGCCATTTGACTGATATGCAGCCAAAAACAAGTTAAGAGAATCATTGTAGGATTTTGGAGAAAAAAAAACCTTACCTCTGAAATTCAAACTAGGAATACAAAACACTGATTCTAGCTTTTTCTGAACCAAATTGAAAGCAAATATGATTTTTTAAACATTAAATGAGGTGAGAAATTTTAACCCACTGAGTTTAGTTTCTGAGATTATTATTTCTGCGTACTTTTTCTCATTTTATAACAAAGACTGTGCATCCATCAGAGACCCTCGTCAGTGCTTCCTTTCAATGTTGTGTACTGTAGTGGCAGCACCGTAGGCACACTAGACAGTAGATTTGATCTTGTAGTTGGAGAATGTTGCTTGAATCACAGTCTTAATAATAATCCTTTCATTTAATATAACGCCTCATCACGTCATTGGGATATCGCAAAGCGCTTCACAGAATATATTATCAAGTGAATTGACTATGTTTTGTGAGCGAAACATGGCATCCAATTGCGCACAGCAGTGTCCCACAGTTGTGGTTTGAGTGACCAAAAGTTTTTTTGGAGGGATTATTAATATTGAAATGCACACCCTGGATTAATCCAGAGGTGGTGTTTTGCTGCTCTCAGCTTTGATCATTCGGGGCACAGAAGCCAGGAAAAAAGGGTGCTTTGTGCTATGTGTTAAATTAACTAGTCATACTGATACCAATGTTAGACAGTAGATATCTAAGGGTATTCCCAGGGTTTATGTAAGGTTTTTCTTATCTAAAAAAATTAGATATTTCTAAATTTTTCCCACTTTCCTCTGACCTTGGGAAGAATAGATCAGTTGGATTCTGGTCCTTTTGTTATTGGCCCTCTGAAACCGCCTGAAACTCTCCGAAACTGACTGTCCATTGCCTTGGGACATCCTCTCGATGTGAAAGGCGCTATACAAATGGAATTTTGTTGTTGTAGTTGTCTGCTAGGCATGTGAGCTCCATCACACCAACTGCTGCAATGCTGGAATCAAGAACATAGCATTGGCCTCACAAAGTCTTAACGGTTGTCTGGTGTCACACTTTTTAATGTCTGTGCTTTCTGTACATTATGTATGAAGATATTCCTGATTTGACAGCTCTTAATTCGTGTAGGTAATATAGTAAATTAAATTATTTTGAAAATAAAATTGAGAAAAATCAAATCTATCTCGCAGACATTTTGGTTTAAGTAATTGCCATTCATGTCCTGACCCCTGGAGTTTTCTTCTCCTGTATGTGTGCACTCAAATAGCTTGAAGGTAGCATCCAGCTATTAAATGGAACATATTAAATGCAATCTGTAGGCTCCCCACTGTCAGTTTACATATAAAATGTTTTTAATTGTTAGTTTCCTAATTAAAACTTCCTGAGAACAATTAGATTCTCAGCAGTCAAACATCTGGAAAGAGCTGCTGATTATGTGCAATGTGGCATTTCGGGAACAAGCCTCTTTAGAGCTTCAGACTTCAGTGCACTAAAGGTTGTATTGTGGTCAAACATCCAATGGTAGCAGATATGAAAGACATAAAAAGTGACCATTCTTACACAATAGTAGCGTATCACAATGATGATGTCTTTCAACGGTTCAATAAGGATTCTTACACAATTGTGGCTACGATTTATTTCGAGCTAGCTGAGTAAATCCTATATTGAAATAAACAACATGTTCTTTCACCCCTTAGTGGTGGAGGTCAACTAAGACAGAGCTGTAGACAGAGGTGTTCGTCTAGAAAACAAATACAGTCACTCAAGGTCTTGACATGAAAGGCCCTGTATCAGATGCTCGGAATATTATTATAGAGAGGTGAATAGATTTTCTGTATAAACAATCTTTTTTTATTTATATAGTGTATTAAATATCGGATTTTAGATTGTGATCTTGTGATAGTGGCAAGGACGATTTGTTTACAAGCTAAGAGATCAGTGAACCAGACAATATATGTTTTAAAATTGGAATAAAATAGGAAACTTCTTTCAATAGGTAAGATTTGATGAGCATCCTACAAACTACTTGGAAGTGAAATGCACTGACTGCTCTGTTATATACCCCTCCCCCCACCCTCCTCCTCATATCAGTACCAAGTATACGAGTAGAGCTAGTTGAGTTTTAAGATCACTTTAATCCTATGAGTTCCGAATGCAGGTTTATTTGCTTTTACAAAAATGTGGTTTATGCTTGCATTGCTAGCAGTATTGAAGTCCCATCTTCAGTAGTAACCTTATGCAGTTAATGAGTTAACAATATAACTTTTAAGAGAGAAATAGAAAATTATTTGGGGAGGACAAGTTTGGAGGGCTATGAGGAGAGCGTGGGGGAGTGGGATTGATTTGAATAGCTCTTTTCAAAGAGCTGACACAGACACGATGGGCCGAATCGCCTCATTCTGTGCTGTATAATTCTATAATTCTATGAAACATGGCTGCTATGACACAAACACACAGGATGAGTTGAGTGACTCAGTCTGCTTGTGTAGGTCATCAGTATCATTTTTGACTAGTCATGTGTGGATCTTGCCCAGCCATTTGGGTGCATACATTGTTCAGCAATTGCCACAAATTGTGGCTGCTTTCTTGAGCAATCCCTTCTAAAATATAAGTAGAACAAATACAAAAGCTTTTGAACTCTAGGACCATACTTTGTAATATACATAGTGGATAATAGTTGCTTCATTTTAACCGTTTTGTTCTCTTGCTGTCCCCCCTCCACCCAATTGTGTAAACTACCCCGACAATTGGGCCCCTAATTGGGAGGAGATAGATGGTTTGAGTCAATGTTCCAGCTTGGTACTACAGTAATGGTGTGCACTGCGGGTTTCCTCCTTCATTTTTTTTCCTTTCCTTCCCCTTGGGCCTCTGATACTTGACCATCTGGAACAGCCTCTCTTGGATTTAAGTCACAATATGTCACCAGCAGCATCATTAAAAAACAACTGCTACAGAATTAATAATTGTTACATCTTTAGCAATTTTTCTTTTTTAAATTGAAATGTGACAAACCAGTTTGGAAGAATCCCTCTTCAGTGAGAGGGAGCAATCTTAACTAGACAATCTTAACCAGCGTCTTGGGACATCCTCCCGACGTGAAAGGAGCTATCCAAATGTAATTTTGTACTGTAGACTATGGAAGGCACAGAGTCCTAAGGGGTGAGTTCACCTGGGTTGGCCTGCTAAACCCTAGAGTACCAGTAGATGCAGCTGGGAAGAAGGATATAACTTCAGAGCTGTTGTCATTCCTGGTTAGATTGTGCGGTAGATTACTACCCAAGTGGAAGCACTGACAGCAGGAAATGGAAACACTGACGAGCAGGTGCTAAAACCCACCACAAGTTATAAATATGAAAAACCTAAGAATGCATTTCAGCTTTTAAAGCGTTTTTCCCTCTGACAGTGACACTGGCTGGAAAATAAATGTGCATAAATATGTCAAAAGAATAATTCCACTTAGGGTACTAAAAAAAGAATAACCAACAAGAACTATGTAAGAATGGACATGAGACACAATTTTTTAAGGATTTACTAAAATCTTCAAAATAGGCAATGTTTATGTGATGTTATTCTTAGGAATGGAGGAAGATCAGTGTCGTCTCCGATGAAGGGCAGTGTAACACACCCAGCTAATTCCCTGAAGTTGATAATTATGTTGGGAAGCTATCGAGGGCAATTGCATAGTGGTTTTAAAGACTGTTTAAGATTACCATTGGCTAGTTAACGGACTATAATTCCTGCTTGAATCATGTCTTCGAACAAGAGACTTTTTAAAAGCATTGGCATAAAAGAACATAGAAGTGTTTCATTTCTATGGTTTTTATGAGGTTGGTAGCCCTGAAATACAACTTATTGTATCAGGTGATCATTGTATTTAGCATCTTCTATAAAGAATGAAGTTAAAGATAAGTAATCTACAGTAAAAGTAAAAGCAATCTGCAAATTGACTAACAACCGGGTTCCTACTTATTGCTATGTAAACAAAGCCGCGTGGAGTAAGGAAACTTGTTCAACATTTTGCCCTGCCAGGAAACGAACCCAGGTCTCTCACTTGCGAGGCGAGTGCTTTAACCACTGAGCTACAGGACTCCACATTGTGCAGGATACAGTTTTTTTTTCAAAAGGAGGTAATGACTTGGAGAGAATTGAAAGTAACATTTCATTCTCCCAGTTCTCTTGCTGTGCTGGTCTCTGGCAATGTCTGAACCTTTTGATTATGCAATGTATCTTGCAGCTTGACCCTTCCTCTCCTTATTCTGCAGTTACACATTTCCCAGGTGTTAGGTGGGTTGAGTTTGCAGAGTACATTCAGCTGTTTCCATTTGCTTCTTTGAGGTATGGTGTGAGACCTTTTTGCTTCTAGAGGTAATTTTTTTTTTTTTCTCTTCAATTTCAGGAGGTCGGCTCCCCTGTTGTTTCCTATTGCTCTGCAGCTCATTTCATTTGGAAGCTAAACCCATGAAGGCAGCCAATGCCATACTGATATGATGCCCTGAACATAGAAAACTAAAGCAGTTTTAAGAAATGCTGCAAAAGGCTATTGACTCAGCAATATCTCATGATGAAAACCCTTTAAGTGTTTTGCTGGAGTCCAGCGACAGTACAAAGCCATACAAAGCCTGCTCTAGCCATTATAATTAGCTATAATTATAGCTATACAGTAGCTATACAGTGGGTCTGCTCTTGATCAGATACTCTTTGAGGTTTTTCCTGCCTGTGTGCAACTTGATGGACACCCAGGTTTGCTTTAAATTGCTGCCTTCGATCCTAATAGGATCCAGATTAATACCAATAAGCTGAGGTTGCGTCATTCAATGGAGTTCCAGTTGCTTTTAAAGAGGCCTCATGTGAAATCAACTGAACACCACTGCAGATCCGAAGGAACAGAGCCATAATGTAGTAAAATAAAATCATCCAAACTAAGTACTGTTAGAATTCAAATCTGGCTCACGATCCTTCCTGTTTGGATTATTTTATGGTCCAAGTTGGTAATAGTTGCCATGTTCTCTAGGGGCTTTTATTTTCCAAAAGCGCAAGAATATTAATCATCAATTGCATTTTTGTGTTTTTGGAGAATGACGATGCAACTCGACTGGCAAGAAATGAACTTGGCAATCCATCGTTGCCTTTAATACAGAGCAGCTCTGAAGTTGGCTAGACGTAAGTAATCTCTACATCGATGAGGTGATGAGAAGTGTCTGCAGAAGTGTGACCAGGGAAGTCTAATTATTGTAGCGATGCCTCGTCGAGGACTTCTGGTGCAGGCGTGGACACGGGGGCTGCTGCTAGGCTTGGCTCTGTTTTTTTGTCTGATTTCCCTTTTGTACTTGCTGGAGTGTACGCCTCGGCCAGACAATGGCTCACCCCTTCTCGGAGTCCCAGGGAAGCCTTATGGCAAAGAGTACTATCAGGCTCTCCTGCAGGAACAGGAGGAGCACTATCTGACTCGTGCTGCAAGTCTCAAGCAGCAGATCACACAGCTGAAGCAGGAACTTCAAGAAATGAGTGAGAAATTGAAATCTGTGCAGGAGAAAAAGGGGCCAGCTCTGAATGGTGGAGCACCCCAGAACAGCAAAGAAAATGCCCCGAATGATCTTCTTGAGTTCTTGCACTCACAGATTGATAAGGCGGAGGTTTCCACTGGTGCTAGGCTATCCAGCGAGTACGCCGTCGTGCCCTTTGAAAGCTTCACTCTGACGAAGGTGTACCAGCTCGAGATGGGTTTGACCCGGCATCCTGAAGAGAAACCGGTGAGGAAAGATCGAAGGGATGACTTGGCAGAAGCCATTGAGGCTGGACTGGAGGTACTGAATAATCCTGATGAAGAAGAGGATGGTGAACGAATACAGAAACACACCTACACTGAGAATGACTTCATTGAAGGTACAGTGCAATACAGTATATGTTGAAATGGGTAACTGATCAGGAGTAATGGAGTTTAGATTTAGTCATAGGAAAACTTACTTTAACTGACACGGCAAGCGTCAGATATTTTCTAGATCAAATGCTGTTATTGTCTGATGGATATTTTGATAAGAAAGTTACTTCTTGTGAATTAGCGTGTATAATTTATAGCAGAGCATTGATGACAAGGCAGGAATCTACTTAAGGAATTCAGGTATTTCACAAAGATAATAGTAAATATCTGCATAGTGATTACCTTGCAGTAAGCTAAAGGTTATTGCAGGAACACACTGGTTTTATTGTACCTATATGGTTAACCCATGACTCTCCAGACATTCGGTTACTTATCTTAGATGTATCTTGGTGCTGAGTCGTGAACAGAATCTGCTTGGCAGGTAATAAAACCAGGCTATTAATTTGAGCCACTTTGCAGTCCCACCTATTAGCCAGTTGTGCCATTCAATCTTTTTTAGGTATTAATGATGCTGAGCCTTATTTGCTGACTGAACATATTTTAATTTTTGCACTCAAATGTACTTTTCCCAAGAGCATTAATTCTACAACTGCTTCTCAGATGAAAAATATTTCCAGATTCTACCTTACTTTCAGTAATGATGTGACGGTAATTTTAGTTGAAGTTTAAAGAAGTTCTGCTGGAAAAATAACTATGGTTTGTGAGAGTTGCACTTTATTTCATTTCTGTAAGTAAGAAAAAAAGTATAGAACATGTATTTAGCTACATTAGTCAAGTGACCTTTGTTTATGGTATTACAGCTTTAAGGCATTTCTCAGGCTCTTTTTTAGAGCGTTTCTGCAATTGAAAATACTGCAGAAGTGGAAAGCTGAGGGCTGAAGCCAGAGCTTCCTTGACAGCATAAAATGTTGCATTGATATAGTCCTTTTCATCCCTTGGTATGAAAAACTGGATTGTAGTTTTGTAAACCAAAATGATCTTCTGTTGATTTATTGATTGTTTTATTTAAGGAATTGACATTTAGGAAAAGGCTCATGAATATGGTTTTATGTTACATTCCTGGAGTATGTCTTACAGCATTAGCATTGGGTTTCTGTTTATTAGAAACATAATATGTTATAAAATATGAGTTTATAGAGGTTAAGTAAAAGGGTAGTTTAAATGAGAGATTCAGAGGAGTTTCCTAAACCTCATGCGTTTCTCTCTTGAGATTGTAATGTTAATTTGAAACCATGAATTTATTTACAGCATTGTCACTGAATCACAGACATTAACTTTGAAGCCAGTAATAATAATCAAAGATTTGATATAGTGCTTTATCACGTCACTGAGACATCTCAAAGCACTCCACAGAATACACTGCAAAGTGAATTGACTGTATATTTTGTGGGCGAAACACGCCAGCCAATTGCGCACAGCAGTGTGCTACAAACACAAACAGTATGTGTATATGAATGGCTAATACTATAGCCATAGGTTTTAGATCAGAGGATAGAACTATTGCTGAATTAATATTAATTCGGAGTCTAGTTTTTGGAGCAAACATGATGAAATAAAAGGAAAGATGCATATTTTCTTGGTCAACCTGGCGTCTGACACACATGGATACCCATCATCATGCTGAAGAGTATCCAAACCAGATGCATATATACATCCCTATATCGATTGGTGTATGCAGTCTGTTCCTAGAGGAACACACTCTTCTTAACAAATTCTAAAAAGTATTAAAAACAAGGCTCAAGGACCATAGAGTGTGAGTGGGTTACTGTTGAAGTTAACCAGCTAAAATTGAGTAGCACTTTCAGCTGCTTGTCCAGCTAGAAACACCCAACTCATTCCTGCTTTATTTTAACGTGAGCCAAATGAAAGATCCCTGCTTCCTTGGGTATCTACAAGATGGATAGTAGATACCAAGAACTCCTTACCAGCCTCTTGGTTAATCAGCACAACTTAGCATGAAATGTGTGAGAACGCACAGCCCTATTAACTTAGCAGATGTTCCATGTCAGGAGTTTCAGCGGCAGTTGCTTGCTGACCTCTCTGCACCTCAATCAAGATACTCCCCCCTTCCCGCCCTCCTTCCCTTCTGATCCCAACTCCCACTGCCAGCTCGGGTTCAAAACTCCTGATTGTCCAGCGCCCTAGGACGCCTTCCGACATGAAGGGCACTATACAAGTATAATTTATTGTTATTGTTGATACCAATTTTTTTTAGAGAAGAAATAAAATGGTAATATCCTTTTACTTGTAGCAACTAGCTATGCTTTTAAATAAAAGAGGTTCTAGTGACTGTCTATATCGGTGCCTGAATCAGTCATATTTTGGACTGTATGTTAATTATACAAACTATACGTTAACTATACAAACCAAAATCTCCGTTTGCCATTCCATTTTATTGTTCATTTTTTTTTGTTTCTTTCAGGTTACTATCGTACGGAGAGAGACAAAGGGACCCTGTATGAGCTGTTCTACAAAAAGGAATTCCTGGAAGAATTCCAGCATGTGACGCTCTTCCGGCCATTCGGACCCCTCATGAAAGTCAAGAGTGAAGTAATTGATACTTTGAACCAAATCATTAATATCATTGTCCCCTTATCTGGCAGGACAGAAGCCTTCTCTCAGTTCATGCACAATTTCAGGTAATAGTACTCTAAATTTACAGTCTTGTCAAAATGATCTGTTCATAGATGTTTTAGAGATTTAAATCCTGGCTAACAGGTCATTTCTGTAAAAAAATGTGTTTTATAATACAATAGTACACATCTATAATGTGCATAATTGTTGTAATGACTAACTCTGCAGTAAACCCACCTGGATTGTTCCAGATGTTTACAGGTTCTTTAGGGTGACAGGAAGATGTTCTTTCTTGTTATTATTTGCACTTTTTTTGTATAATTAGTGTCCTTGTATCTCAAGCTCTCTGTTTGTGATGTTTATATCCCTACTCACCAGTTTAAATAAAATCTAAGCTTGGATATGTTGTTTTGTACAGGGAGGTGTGCATATTCCAGGACAAGTTTGTGCACCTCACAATTGTCTATTTTGGGCAGGAAGGATTGGATGAAGTGAAGAGGATCCTGGAGACCATTGCCAGGTGAAATAAGTAGAGCATTTTTATTAAAATGTTCACAATATTGCCTGTGAATTGTGGGGGCTTTGTGATTGACGTATTTGCTGAAGTTATGGAGAGATCAAAACTTAAATGTGTTGGACTAAGTTATCTAGCTTGTGTATGTGTAGTTAAAAAATGTTATAGCTTATTGAATCTTATAGCTTCTCACTCACTAAAACTGTACAAAACCCACCATATGTAATAAAATGCAGTGTTCCTTGGTGTTATAGTGAATTGTTGTAACAATTCTATTACATGCTGATCTCTTAACATTTATAAACACTTTTCCTTAAAGTGTTTGTAATGGATAATTCCATTTTTAACACAAAATGAACAATTTCTAGTGTTATCAATCAAGCCATAATAGACCTGGCTATACTTGTGGGATGGATACAGATTGACATATATGACTCTGCTATGTTGAGTTGAGTGGGGAAATAGCAGTCGACATGATCATTGAGATACTTTGCCAGAACAACTTTCATTTATATAGCACCCTTCATGGCAGATAAAGTCTCGGAGAGGAGTAGAGTCGTGGGGACTTTATAATCCTCTGGTCTCAATATTGATTTCAACAATTTCAGACCATAATAGCTCACATTTCCCCTCCCCCTCTTCTGTGACTGTTACCACATCATCTTGGTTCCAGACACACCTTTTCTCTCTCTGATCTGTCTGTTTTGTTGCAATTCCCCCCCCCCCCCCCGCCACACACTTTGTTCTGCAATATTAACACCTCAATGCCCCTGCTTTGTTGCAATCCCCCACCCTTTGTTTTGCATCAATACCTCTTTAACCCATCATCCCCCGTCCTTAACCCTATTTTCTCCTTGGTCTTCCTTGCCCTGCCTCGCCTCTCTTTGTTAGCCCTTAAAAGCCTCTCCCTCCCAACATTCCCTAGTTCTGATGAAGGGTCGTGGACCCGAAATGTTGACTCACTTTCCTTTCTCCATAGATGTTGTCTGACCTGCTGAATGTTCCCAGCGACTTCTGGTTTTGTTAGTAGAGTGGTGGGGTTGCTGGTGGATGCTGAGCATGGGAGAAGGGACAGGGGAAGTGATCGTAGGCTATCTTAGGTTAAAGATGATGTCTATTGATAATCCAGGTTCATCAATAGGAGCTCCAGTGATAATGATTTAAAATTCATTGGAGTAAATTTACTTTTATTTTTTTATTTCTTGGTAGTGAAACCAATTTTCAAAACTACAGCCTGGTTCCATTGGTTGAAGAGTTTTCTCGTGGGCATGGCCTGGATATGGGTGCCCGGACTTGGGATAAGGGCGAGGTGTTGATGTTTTTCTGTGATGTCGATATCTATATCTCTCCTGAGTTCCTCAATAGTTGCCGGGTAAACACAGAGCCTGGTGAGTCACTGACGCTTGTGTTGTAATAAAGATTACAGTTGTGAGCGAATATTTTTAAAAAGGTTATTTTGAGAGTTAAGAGTTAGGTTAGTTATATGAATTGGGAGTGGGACTGTGTATCATGCAGGCATCAGTGAAAATTATAAGCATCATTTCTAAATGTGTTTGTTGGCATTTTGTTTAGATTCTTTGGAAGTAATTTTCCGACTAACCTTAACTCGCCAGAATGTCTGTTGGTGTCAATATCTTCACTACCTGCTCTCATTTGTTTTAAGACAATAGACCTGTAGCATTCAGTAAAACTGATGATCTTTTTACAGGTAAAAAAGTGTTCTATCCAGTTGTGTTCAGCTTATACAATCCTGCTATCGTCTATGCCTACCTAGATGGTTCACCGTCCATTGAACAACAACTGGTGAGTAGGTTATTTGAAGTTATGCTATTATGTTTTTTCTTAAACTTCCCTTGTAAGTTTTGCAACATGAGTTTTAGTCTCAACCTCTGAAGAGGCTTTTCCATTTTCAAATTCAACTATTCCTAAGTTGACTTGGGGAAAGTGGGGAAGAACGAGAGTTGAACTTGATCAAATATAGGTCCTAGGGGAAGTTCCTGGGCATAAAGCTATTGGGAGATGGAGGCTCCTGATTTTAAAATGAGTGCTTTGTTACTGCAAATAGAATGAACCTCCACACATAGGAGAAATCTGTAAAGTAGCAGCGTGAAATGCACATTGCGAAGGAGAATCTGTCATTTGTAACAGTAATACAAAACTCGCATCAGTTAAAACTTACAGTGGATTGAACTGATCTGAAACCCTTACTAATGTGACCAGTCTGACAATGCGAGCCATATCAACAACAACAACAACAAGATTCCATTTATAGAGCGCCTTTCACGTCAGGAGGACGTCCCAAGGCGCTGCACAGTTGGGTCATGACCCGAGCAGGGGGGAAATGGTCAGGGGGAGGGGAGGGAGCGAGGAGGGGGGAAATGGTCAGGGTGAGGGGAGGGAAGGGAGGGAGAGAGGAGGGGGGAAATGGTCAGGGTGAGGGGAGGGAAGGGAGGGAGCGAGGAGGAGGAAGAGAGTCGAGAGGGGAGCTGAAGGCACGGTCAAAGAGAATATGAAACCTAATACACATTACCAGTCGAAGAATACTATTAAACACTAGCAACAAATTGCAAAATGTGGGCATTAAATCCCTGGTTTTATTACTGTCTGCATGCTTTTGCTTTATATCTTTGAGCAGTTCCCAAACCAGCCACTAAGAAGCACTATATGCTTTATTGTGTAACAGAAAAAGTGATAGAATGCTACATTCTTTACTAAAATTGCACCATCCAGGAATGGGAACATGAAATTTTACCTTTCTGAAAGTTACAAACTTTCTAAAATGTCATTGTCTTTTTAACCTTTTGCACAGGTACATAAAAAAGATTCTGGGTTCTGGCGAGATTTTGGATTTGGAATGACCTGTCAATATCGCTCAGATTTCCTTAGCATTGGTATGTGTCTTTCAGTTCAAATTACCAAATAACTTCACAGAAAGAACCTGGTATGATACTGTAATAATAATAATCCTAAAAGCGCTTCACAGAATATACTGTAAAGTAAATTTTTGTGGGTGAAACACAGACAGTTGCACACAGCAGTGTCCCACAAACAGTCGTGGATTGAGTGACCAAATTATTATTGCTTTTTCTTGAGGGATTATTATCAGGCATGTGGAGTAAAGAAACTTGCCCAAGGTTTCGTCCTGCCAGCAATTGAACCCAGGTCTCTGGCTTGCGAGGCGAGTGCTCTAACCACTAAGCTGTAGGACTATATGATATTTCCTGAATTCATGTTGTATGTTGACCTGTCTGCCACTCAAGAGATGATGGAGCTTCAATGTTGAGTCTGGTCTAAGAAAATATTCTTTGAGGAAAGCAGTGCTGACTATCATGCTTTCTCTTTGCAGGCGGCTTTGACTTAGATGTGAAAGGTTGGGGTGGTGAGGATGTCCATCTCTATCGCAAGTACCTGCACAGTGACCTGATTGTGGTGCGGACACCAATATCAAGCCTTTTCCACCTCTGGCACGAGAAACATTGTGCGGATGAGCTGACACCAGAGCAGTATCGAATGTGCATTCAGTCAAAAGCCATGAACGAGGCTTCGCAGGCTCATCTTGGAATGCTGGTTTTCCGGGAGGAGATTGAGGCCCATCTCCGGAAGCAAGCCTACAGAACTGACGGTGAAACTCCTGATTGAGCTGGAGAACGCTTTACGCCTGTTTTTCTAAATGCTTGCAGTTTCCACCAGACTCGTATCAAACTGTGGGGACCACAGCAGGCTAAATGGATGTTTTACAGTGTGCTGTTGCTGTTCTTGTTTACTGTCTCTAGTTACACAGCAAGTTTACATATTTACATCTCATCAGGGCTGCATTTTAAAGCATACTGTTTACACTCACAGTTAAAGGCCTATATCACAGCTTCCAAGTACCACAAGTATTTCTATGTTCACAAGAAATAGCCGCTTAGCCTCTACCCTGGGCCAGCTTTTCTTCACTTCCCCCTCCCCCTTTTCAGTCACTGCTGGTCCAGGTCTGTGCTCTCTCAGTAGCTGTGAGCACCAGTTCAAGATTGTGCATACATAGCACAGAAAGGTGGTGCCTTTTAGTTTAAATAATAATCCTTGTAATTGATATAGCGCCTATCAGGTCATAACATCTAGGAGCGCTTCACAGTTTTCTGCAAAGTGTAAGGACTAGTTTTGTTTAGGCAAGCAAATGCGATAGCCAAATTACACACAGCACTATCCCACAAAAAGTTACAAAGAAAATACATTTTTTACCTATGGATTCTTGACCAGGATACCAGGTTAAACTTCCTTCTCTTTTTGAACAGTGCCATAAAATCTTCAATGTCCACCTGAACATGCAGATGAGGCCTCTGTTCAGCATCACATCTGACAGATGGCAGCTCTGGCAATGCAGCACTCTCTCAGCAATGCCAACCTAGATTATCAGTCAAAGTCCTGATGTGGAGATTGTGTCAAAAGCTTCTGACTCAGAGAGAAAAGCGCTAGCACAGGTTGACACTTAACTGAATTATAAGAAGCTATGAAAAGAAAGCGTCATTTATTATTTACAAAATAACACCACAGTTGCTGTGTTTCCAGGCTTTTTTTATATAGGCTTTGACAGTAGAAAGGAAGATGCTAAAGTTACACAAGAATGTTTTGGTGAAAGACGACAAGAGCTGAGACCTGCAGTCTAAGTGGGACAGTGACTGACATTTATGCAGATAGGACATTGAAAACCATGTCTCACAGGTGCACCTACCATTTGTAACCATGGAAATCGTATTTCAATTATGACACCTCAGCCTAAACAGTGTTGAGCCTTGTATACAGTGTCAGTGGATTATGGCAGCAGCACACTGCAGCAAGACCTGAGGTTATTTGTTTAATAGTCAAAAGCAATGGTGTATCTTGAGTAACAAAGAAAATATGTTGACACTCACGTCTTGGACTGTTATTTCCTGAGCATTTCCAATTCCCCTCCTTCCCAAGTGAGAGGTAAGGTTTTATTTTCCGTGACTTTGGCAGGCAATTTTTCCAATGGCATAGGTTCATGAGACCATTTAAAATAAATAATAATAACTTCAAAGAACTACATCAGACAAGCAGAATCATGATAGTAATTGTCATGCTGATCAAGATGGAATGTTTTGAATTGAGAGGGAAGAAGATTGAAAATAATGCAGCAAATTATACGTCATACATAGCAATACATTACTGCAGAACTCTGCCTCGCTGTGGAGGATTGGAACTCTGTATAATATTCATATCATTTACTTCTTTAAGTAGTTCTTTAAGTAGGTACAGGTGTACAGCTTCAAGTTAAATGGTCTGAGTTACTGAAAATTGATTCTGTCAGTCTTTTAGCCTTTTTTTGATAAAGCATTGCCGAAGTCTGCTAATGCTATTAAATCATGCCTTACAGAATTTACCTTCAGATTTTAGTATTTTTAGGACACTTGAGATGTTCAAGCAGCTTTTAACTTTCATGTCTATTGGCATGGTGTCTGTTAAAGTTTTAAAAACTTATCAGACTAGTTGTGTCTCAGCTCATTGTTCAGATGTGGTCAAATTGTAGTTTTGCAAAATTTTATTTCAGTGAAGATAAGTCTTCAAGCACCACTAAATCTGGCCCCTCTCTCTCTGGAATTCTATCTCAAAGTCCCTCTAACTCATTCCCTCCCTCCTCTATTTTAAGGCACACCTCTTGCACCTCTTCGACCATGGTTTTGGTCCTCGTTCCCCCTCCCCCCCACCCCCTGGCTCCCACCCCCAACTTGAATACCCATCAACACTGTGAAGCGCTTTGAGACAATCTCACAATATGAAAGGCGCTATATAAATTAAATTGTTTTGCAGAGGAGATTACTGGCAGAAAGTGGGACTGTTACATATTCTCTGGGGCATAATTTTATTGCTCACTATATCTGGTTATTAGTAACCACAGCCAGTATTATTAACAAGCAGAAACTTTGCTTTCTTTCCCACAATCCAGTAGTAATAGGGAGTTGTTGCTGGGGTATGGAGAAAGAGGAGTCGACGGCATTACTAAAGTACAGTACACAATTAAAGGAGAAAAGAATCCTCGTCTTTCTATCAGCGACTGAGATGCAATCATTTAAACAAGGTCTTATTATGCTTACCTTGGTCATTTTTCATTAATTCCTTCTACACCTCTGAAAATAAATACAGGGATAGAATCTTGTCTGTGAGCACTATATATAAGGAAGGTGTTGCATGTGCACTTTCATTTCAAATCTAAGGTAAATAGAGCTGATGGATGTTTGAGGCAGGGTGCAAGCTCAATGTTTAAATAAAAGCTGAAGCACTGTTTCTTTTAGTGTTGTCATTAGCTGCTTTTACAAGTAAATAGAAAATAACCATGGAAACCAAGGAAGACATGAAATGTTAAGAGCAAGATGATGCAATTGAGCAAAGAAGATGTGACCTGACTAGAGGGCAATTGACAATGACTGGTATTCCCTACTATGCTGTCAGTGCCAGGATGCTTCTATATCTCTTGTCAGTGTTGCTGTGAACTGGTTCCCAGGCATGCGGGAGGGGGCTCAGCATGATCTTCTCTCCAGTGAAAAACATTTACTCTTTTATCTGTACTTCTGACTGAGATTGAAAACTCAGCGTGTGGGAACCACTGCACTTCAACCTAACAATGCTTATAAAGCATGCAGAAATGTATCCAGTACCATAATAATAATAATAATCCTTGCATTTGATATAGTGCTTTTCACGTCTTCAAGATGTCTCAAAGCACTTCACAGAATATGCTGTAAAGTGAATTGACTGTATATTTGTGGGTGAAACCATTCCCGGAGTCCCAATTTTCATGACTGTCAGCCTGCTAAGTGGTTCCCATTTCAATATACCGGTAAGAGAAAAATCTGTTTAAGTCAGAAGTAGTTAAGTATACGTTGGCTCTCCCTGCACTAAGGCACCTCGTTAAAACGTGCAGAAGTTTGCACTAGATGGAGAGAAGACTTCCGGGCCTTCAGACGAGGCATTAATTAAAGTTGAGCAAATTCTGTTGCCTTCACTGATTTGAAAACAATGCACCTTGTCTTACAGGGCAGTGAACAGAGTGCTGCAACACAGCATGAGTTCTGAGTACAAGTTCTACTTTACAGCTTGTTCGTACTGTTTTTATAATTAGGCTGAATAATTACCAACAAGCACATTTAAAAATGGAATCAAGTGTGAAACCAGCAGCTGCCATTTTATTAACTGTTTGTGAAAAGCTTTTCCACCGTGCAACTTTTTTCATGATTCGTGATCTTCACCGAGATTCTTTTAAACAAGATAATTAGTAACTCCAGACACTGCTACTTATTTTTTTAAATTGAAATTTAAATTCATTGTTTCTCTTTGCCCCCCCCTTTGCAAAAGAGGTACTTTTTTTTTAAAAAAAAGCACAGCTTCAAAAGCAATTTTTTGATCTTGGTGATTAGATTAGATTTAATAATAATACTTGCATTTGATATAGCGCCTTATCATGTCTTCGAGAAGTCTCAAAGAGCGTCACAGAATATACTGTAAAGTGAATTGACTGCATTTTGTGGGCGAAACACTGCAGATATGAGAAATAATCTAGATTGTTACTCTAGAACATATTGATAATTGAGAATTTCATGTTATTATTTGGAATCCTCCAATAAATGGACCTTTGTAAATGTGAATTTGCTAGTACAGTATTTAATTAAAATCACTCGTGGGACACTGCTGCTGGGTTACACCCACAACGTATACAGTCAATTCACTTTACAGTATATTTTGTGAAGTGCTTTGAGACATCTCAACGACATGATAAGGCGCTATATGAAATGCAAGGATTGTTATATGTGATTTAACCAGGCATCTGAAGTGCTTGTATCTACCCATGAGGGGGCGCCAATGGACTTTAATATCAATAATACTGCATAGTACAGTATTACACAAAGTCCCTGGTCCACCTTGTGGTACATGAGTGGTACTATATGTTGACATTTCTTTAGAGTAAGATAAAACTACTGGAGCCATGGCCTTTGTGATTTATAAGATGAGCTTTGTGGCACAAGGGTGATTATCTAATATAATCACAGTCTTTGCCATGTCTCATTAGGTTCATCCAGTCGTTAGAAAGTTGCACAGAGGAACTTTTGTATTTTCAATGCTTTTTTTGTTGTTTTAAGAGTAATTGGAAAAACAGTTTACACTTCCATTAGTCCTTTCCTTGGGCAGATTTTTTAATATGTGGAGGGTTGAGAGTTTAGGAGCTGCAGTGGAAGCTCCTCCCAAATGGGCCACCCAGTTTTTGTTAAAGAAGAAATTAATACAAATGTTTTGCAACAATCTAATATGTGTTATTTCCTCATGTTTAGTTTTTATCAATAAAGTGAAAAAATGTAGGTTGGCAGTAATATGTAACCACCACCACTGACTTTGGTATCAGTAATTTCTTTTGTTTCCTGTAGCAAGTACATGTTCAGTGAGCAGCCTCAAGGTAACCAAATCACAGCATCTCATTGCATTTTAATTTTCAGTCAGTGACAGATGTGGAGCTGCCCACACTTTGCACCCTTTGATGTGGTAGTTGTTGGTCAATTCTTGAAGCTAAAACTCCATTAAGGTTTAAGCCCGAGGAACTGTTTTTAATCAAAGTTTCAATTGAAGTTCAAATTCCTTTGTGTGTCTGCAGTTATTGAAATATCATATATGTATATATGAAATCGTATTTTCTTGATATATTGTATATGTGTTATATATAATATATAAACTATATAATATATTCTCCTTTTTAAGTTTCCCTCCCCAAAGACAGGAGATGCAAATAAACCGCTCCCAGCTGTCTGCTAATTGTGTGTTGACCGCCATGACTTTCAGCTGATCTCACGAGCACAGTGGACAGCTATTTCCCTTGCTGATTATCCTGGAAGGGCAGACCAGTCACTGGGGGTAAGGGAGTCATCCCACTCAGCTCCTGTTATCTCTGCACCCGCATGGGTAGAGTGTTCCATTCCAACAATCTGTCTCTGGGATTTCCATGTGTATGTGGGAGCCATGGAAATCTCAGCTTGGTTTGAATACTCTTAAGCATGATAACAACAGCAACAACTTGGATTCATATAGCGTCCTCCATGCCGGACAGCGTCTCAGAGCGCTTCACAGTAACGGATCCCAGGGCCGAGCCAGGGGGAGGGGGAGGAAGGTGACCAAAGGCACGGTCGAAAAGAAAGGTCTTCAGCAGAGACCTGAAAGTAGGAAGAGAAGGGGCGAGGTGAAGGTAGTGAGGAAGGGGGTTCCAGAGCCTCGGGGCATAGTGGCTAAAGGCATGGCTGCCGAGGGTGGGGCGGAAGACTCGGGGGACGAGGAGGCCAGACCCGGAGGAACAAAGGCAATGGGCACTGTTTTGAGGAGAGAGGAGGTCAGAGAGATAGGGGGGTGTGGAGGGATTTGAAGACAAGGGTGAGGATCTTGAAATCGATCCTCTCTGGGACAGGGAGTCAGTGCAGGCTGGCAAGGACTGGGGTAATTCGGGATGATGATGATGGGTTTCCGCATGTGTCAGACACTCGGCTGTCCCCAAAAAATCACTTTCCTTGTGGAAAGGGCCCGGGTGTCTGTTTTCCCCCGACTGCCTAACTCCAAGATCCTGAACCATGACTTTGAACCTGTCTGTGCGATTGCATTTGCCCCATTCGCAAAGTGTTCTGCTATTATTTTGTTTATTCATGATTGATTTGTGAAATCACTGTCTTTGACCCTTGCTAACCAGTGATTTGTTGGTCCCTTCCAAGCAGCGTGGAAGCTGGCTGTGTTGTGCTATGACCTGCTTGTGTGACTTGGTGCCTCCTCTGGCCAGATAAAGGCCGTGGGAATGAATGTACTGGTGCCACAAGATGCCCTAAGCATTGCACAGAGGTTGAGCCACTGGCACTGTTCCATTCCACACTGCAACAGCATTGACACAGGACTCGGAACAGATTGCGTGTCCTGCCTGATTGTTAGGAAATCAACATTAGGCTAGTAAAGTGTATGACTATAAACTAGATGATTCACTATTTGGCCCATTTTTGGAGAGATACTTGGTTATTTATACACTCATATAATTGTAATCCCTTTACAGGGTTGAAACAAGTTATTCATTATCTTGTAGTAACATACTGGAGCACAGCTGTTGGGCTATAAATCATGTTACTGTATTAGTTTTGTTAGCAGTCAAGCACTAGGTTTTTATGTTCGATTCATGGTGGATAGACGATTGTCTACTGAAAAACATATGGCTGCATAGACTTAGTGTGAGGAGGTGTCCACAGAGAGAATGATTGGAACGGATTGTGGATTGGAAGGAATGTATCAGAGAGGGGTGAGTAAAATCGAGAGAGTGTGAAGGGAATGAAGACAGACAGAGCAATCACCAGGAAAATAAATGAAATAACATCAGGGAAAGGCAGTGAGAGATGAAATGCTTTGATTATGAGAGATCTGTTTCTTCAGTAGATTTGTGATTCGTTCTGTTTATTGGTGAGGATACGAGTCCTTTTATTTTACTTTTCCCAGTTGTTACTGGTCTCCCAATGGGCCACTCACCAACTGCATCCTAATGTTATTGTGTTGTGCAGCTGACTGCCAGAGCGCTCTCATTACCACTTGGAATTGCCTCTGGAGAGCAGTTGAGGTACTGTTCAATTTTTTTTGCTCTTGGGCTTTGGTCACATGGTGTGACTGAGATTGACAGCTTTGTGATGTAAGAAATGAGAGGCTTGAAAAATATGCTTTTCAATGGTGGCAGAAAGTACAGGCACATGTTCTGCCTGCTCGTTTTTCCACTCACTGATAGCATCGTGTGAGGGGGGGTGTTCAAGAAAAGGTTATCAATGAGGGCTGCATCTTTATACCTTGTGCTCTTGCACACTCTCAAGAGATCTGCGTAAATGCTACAGGTCTAAATTCAGCAATGCTTTGCATCCCATGGGTGAAGCTACCTTCAAGCCTACCTCCACCCATTCCCTTCACTTGTCAGGCAGGACAGATGCAGGAAAATCACTTAGTTATTTACACATTGTTAAAAATTTCCTTTGGAAGCTTACACTCAGAGTTGCAAGTTCAAACTACCAAAAAAAATGTGAGTTCAACAGGGCAGTGCTGTACAAGCACATTGTGATACCAACTTAATATTAAACTGTTTTGAAGTATTAATAATCCTTACACATGATTTGTGATTTGTTCTGTTTATTGGTGAGGATGTGCTTATTCATATCAGGAGCATGTCTCAAAGTGCTTCACAGGATTTTGTATTTTGTAGGCAAATGTGGTAGCTCATTTGCACAGAGCAATGTCCTACAAACAATATAAAGTGAATAGTTTTAGCTGGGATTGGTCAGGACACCAGTGGAAATTCCCTTCTCTTTTTGAATAGTGGAATCTTTAATGTCCACTTGGACAGGAGGCAAGATCTCAGTTTAACATCTCATCTGAAGGACCTCCAGCAATGTAGCAACACTGTGCTATCAGCCTAGACATGGGAGTTCAAAGTCCCAATGTAAGGCTTGAACCCACCACCTTGTGATTCAGAGTGCTAGCAACTGAGCCAGGCTGACACCTTCTGGAGCAAATGTAATACTTTAATTTGAAAATAAACTGCAAATAAAATAAGGTCAGTTGCTCCTTTAAGTCTCGGATAAGATTCGTAATATACCAACTGCATATATGAAGGATTAAATCTATCAGCGTCTCCTGTAGCTTCGCATAACAACCTCTATTATCCCTTGTCGTGCTAGAGGTAAATCAGCAGCTTAATGGAAGAAGTTCATCACTACCTCTACGTAACTAGCTATTCTCTCCACAATTGTGAAATGGATTACTTTGTCGCTCCCACTGCATCTTATTTTTGCAAAAACAGGCTGCTTAGCTTGAAAGATTTCTATTGTGATGTTGCTATACCTCTGCCCACCCCCCACCCATTGCTTTATTGCTCTCCCAAACTGTTCTGCTATATTTTGCATTACTACATTCTTGTACCCAGTAGCACAATGGCTGTGAACCAAAGAGATAGCATTAATATGTGTCCTTTATCTCACTCATGGATCTTGGCTCAGATTCAACTCTGCCAACTTGTTTTTCTGAAGTATAACCGACTCCGGCTGATAGGGAGTCAAGTAGAAATGTTCTGCATGGATGCCCAACAAGTCTCAGAGTGAATCAACTGCTTTAGTTACTACTATTTCTTTTTCCCCCCTTCCTAAATTCTCAGACTCTCGTGTGTCTCTGCCACCACTTTAATTTCCTTCAGCTAGAGGATGGGTGACTTGTATTGTGGTGTTTTCCACCATGCCTCTGAATTGTTTGAGGAGAGCAACTTTGCAGGATGAAAACAAATTATCGGTGCTCATCGTATTATTCTGCAGTATTCAAACTGCCTAAAGCCTGAGAACCTCTGTAACCTGAGAAGCTGTATTTATCATCAACCAAATCCCTCCACTGAGTGTAACCTCAGTTAAATATCCGCCAAGGCAGTGAGTGTCACTGAGCTCTTCCCTCCCAACCACTGTGCGACTTCATATCACTCCCAGGTCTGAAGCTACAGAAAGTTTGAGGAGAAATGCCTCCTTTGGTAAAAATGTGCATGTTTGGATGTAAATAGAGTGGGGGGAAAGAAAAATAATGATTTCAGATTGAGGCAGAGATCTTTACTTTCTTGTGTCTGCCTCCATGTTGATCTTCTCCTCATGTGGACATTTCTGCTTGGGTTCACTGCACAACTTGTGGTGGTAGTTGCTGTAATTGTGGTGGAATGTAGCTATAGCCAGACATTCCCCAAACTGCTTGTCACAGAGGCAGAGGTCACTGGAGCAGGGGTCTGACCACTCAGGGCACTCGGCCCTTCCTAGTTTGCACTGGGAATAGTTTGGCTTCAGGTAGATGCTGGTTCCCTTCCAGCATGATGTGTGTAGTGCCCTGTCGTAGCAGCAATCATGTGTGAAACAGCACCTGTCGAACTCGTCCAGTGGGATGCCATCACCTCCCCTTCCGCAGTAGCACCCGTAGCCATTCACTTGGTAGATGGAGAAGCTATAGTGATTCTTGTAGCACCACAAGACGAACGCTATGTCCAGTACGCTCCTCCGTGAGATATTCCGACTGTAGAGGCTGCCACTTTTCTCCTGGGGGTCCACGCAAATCAACAAGGGCATCACTTGATAGAGTAAAAACAGATGGAAGAGTAAAGGGTACCTTGTACACTCCATGGCTTATATACTAACCTGTGAATGAACAGTCATTCACTAGTGATGATGATGATGACCTTCCTTCCATAAGGGGTCTCCAGGGTCCAGTGATGAACCACATCAGGGAGATGGGCACATTCCCTGATCGTTTGGTTTGTGGCTTTCCCAGGTGACAATGAAATGAGACAGTTGAGCTGGTTTATGTATAAATGGGATTCTAGAATGGCACAGGCTAGTTCTAGCATAGCCAAATACACAGGAAAGATTCTGCTGCTCTCCACCACCCGTGAGCCTTAATCTGGACATTTAGTACTTGATCACTGAATCTACCTCCTCCTCAGGTTCCCACACTGTTTCCAACCGACCCTGACTCCGCCTCAGATTATTTTTCTGTCGCCGTCTCGAGTCAAGACTCCAGCCCCAGCACCTATTCATACTCTACATTCCAGCTACCGGTAACACTCTAGTGCTGGTTCTTGGTCCCTGTATCCCTGTGTTAAAATTACACTGTTTAAGTCTCAGTTCAGTTCTGTAGGATCTCAGTTTTGTAGTTTAACAAAAACTTCAAAGGAGGCAGAACACTTAAGTAGGAAATCATTTCCATTCTTTGGTAAATTTACCAACCAGCATTTTCCTTTTGAAGTGGTGCCCATACCAAGTGAGTTTACACAAACAGAAATGTTTCTAAAAGAAGTCACAATTCACTAAGGGATGACTGCAGAGTTTTAACAATCTGTTTCATTCCATAAATAAACTTTTCTTAATACCAAAGATAAAGCTCATTTGGAAATGTCAATTGAAAAGAAGAAACATTTATTATTTTCACATAATTTATTTTCTGTCACTGTATCTTTATAAAACCAATGGATAAAACGTTAACAGACTTACACTGTGCTCCACTATCAATGGTTCTTAATGCATTCATGAGTAATTCCTTAAGGAATTGCTTTGGAACAAAATGAATGAAAGATTCATTTTGCAGTTCTGTTTTTTTTCAATTGGGAAGATGGAAGAGAAGAAAGCGCTTTTACAGGAGAGCAGAAGAAGGGTCCTCCCAGTCCATCAGGTGGGTTGATTTTTGTCTCTTTTTATATTCCGATAAATTGCTTGCATGCCTCAAATTGCAAAATAGACGAGGATACATCCTAATTTGTGCTAAGAGTCTCCACAAGTGAGGCTCACTGAACAGCACACGCAGGTTTGTGGTCAGCTTTGTTACTTTAAAGAGATGTGAAATTTGCACGTGTAACCTTTTTTTAAACAAAAATTAAGATTCAGCAAGAAAGGAATTTAGTGACTCAATGGAATTAATTATTTAGCTTGCACATTTTAAAAACTAATTGTAAGGAAGAAGCTCGAGAGAAATCAAATCATTAGGAGCCTCGTCTTATTTGTAGTGAGAAAACATGCTGCTTTCAAAGAAAAGGCTTTCAATATATACAACATCCTTTTTTCAACCTCAGTCCTTTGAGATGTTGCAATAATATCCCTTCCCCTATTCAATATGACAATTGAAGTCAATAATTAAGCCGCTCAACTGCCATACGGAGGTGTACAGATGTGTGCCAGTGATGCAGATGTGCAAACAAAACCCCATAAAACATTTATACTGTCAAGCCAAACAACAAAATGACTGCCAAATTTTTGGACTTGTGCTTTTTACCTTAGTTGAAGGTTTTAACCTTACCGTTGAAGGGGGGCCACTGTCACTGGACTCTTAGCATTTTGATCGAGGCAGAGTCTTGGAAATAACTTTTTCAGAAAACTGCTAGGCACTCATTGGCTGGCAGGGAAAGTGCTTGTTTTATCTTATATAAATCTTGCAGTAAAACTATTTTTGCAGCAGATATTATGTCACCTGGCTATTGTTAATGTGGTCATCTCTCTTCAAACCTGGTTAAAATCCAGCCAACATTATCAGGATACTTCCTTTAAACAGAATATAGTGTGTTGTGCAGCACATCCTGCTTCATTGCAGAATTGCAGTCACTTTATAGAGAATGGGGAAGAGGAGATGATCAACTTTATAACATTGGAGAGGATTCTAGCACAATATACTTAGCAAAGTTCTATACAATAACCTTTGGGAAATCTTAAGAAGTGAGTGGAAATTTTGTTTAAGAGCTTGTCAGTCTAGCGTGGATTTTCTTATTAAAACATCTTCATTGTTTATTAAAATTACACACATTAAAAATAAATCATTTATTTTTAAAAGAGGCAAAGTCAGATCATTGTCACAGCAGCAACATGCACCCTCCAGTATGGCAGAACAGGGACCCTCTACTCCAAGAGACACTACTGTACACACCAGGGTATAATGGAAAACAATTAAAGCACACTCCAAAAGGGCGAAGTCCATTCCAGTGGTACAGTCCAAACCTTGCTCTATAATTTGTTAAGCAGTGCACACTCTCAACACAAAGGCAGAAAAGGGTCCTTCACTCCAGCAGAACAACAAATCTCTGAACTATATTCTGTAATGTAAAACAATCAATGCACACTTCACTATGGAATGATCTTCAGGCCTCAAAACAGTTAAAATATTGTCGACAGGCTGCAGCATAAAACAAATCAGTGCACATTCCATATGCTGGAATAGATGCCTGTTACTCCAGCAGGACAATCTATATATAGTTTGCTTGAATTCTGCTAAACATTTCCCCCTCCCAAAGACAGTGCAACAGATTTCAGTCCAGTGCAATGTTACCTTGCCAGCATTGTTTATACCCGTAAGTATCTCTCTCTTAGAAGCAGTGAGTTATTCCAAAACAAATAAGTGGAAGGAATTTCCCACATGTTGCCATTGTCTTATTTATTTTCTACTGAAGTCCAGAGAAACAGTAGCCAGAGATTTCTCATGATGCCTTTGTTCATTAAAGGGTCCTGCCCCCATGACAAAAAAACTTTTTCTTCGACTTCTTTTTGTTTTTACAAGTGTCTTTAAGTGAAAGCACAATGTTGTTTGTGAAGTCTATAGAATAGAGATACCCACACGTCCCAGCTAGGGGATCAGTATCCCTTGCTTTGCTTGGTCACTTTCTCTACACAGTCACGATCCGTACCCGAATCAAGCAAATCAAAAAAAACTAGAAATAAAATATAACATGTCCGAATCAAGTGCCAGGCTTCCAACTGGGGCTCTAATCGATTGCAGTGCAAATGATACGCAATGTCTGGTATATGCAGGCTGCCTTCTTCATGCCCTATTCAGCAGTGTGGCCCTGCCAGGAGAGAGACAAGCAGTTCGTTAGGAATGCTTTATTATATATGAATCATTCAAATAAACATTGCCATACTTTTGCCCAGTTTTAAACAAGCAGACAGCTATGATCAATCTTCTTTAAAAACTTCCATTTCATTAATGTGCCCAGACTCGTGCAAGTCAAAATCTCATGAAGCTTCATTTTGGAGCAGCTTTACGCACTTCTCATTTATATCTTTTTAGCAGTTAAAATATCTAATATTAGAATTACATCACCTATGATTTGCTCGGCTTGTTTCTTTAATCAAAATTAAATACTGTTTCTCTTAAGAGGAATTAGACATAATTAATGCCAGCCTTTCGTCAATAAGTCAGATATAATGAAAAATGTTACCTGAGCGTCTTCCAGCTGTCCTTCTCCATATGATTCTCAGGACCTTCACTCTCAAATGAAGCCAGGTAGAGAGCTGGAAAATAAAGAAAGAGGAACATTACAGCCATTCCTATTCATTTTGAATCTCAACATTCTCATGTGGAGTTTATTTGCATGTTTGATTTAGTTAGATTTCTTAACTACTATAACATTTCGATTTTATTGTGAGGGATGTCAGTGGTGTAAAATGGTTCAATTTTCCAATTTTTGCAACCTCCTCAAGTACATTCAGATAGTCAAGAGATCTTACCTTCTTCTGTGTAAACAGGGGCTGTTGTAAGGTAGTTTTTGATCTTCTTGTCCTTCTCAAAGGGACAGTCCACTTGTTTCCACATCATGAACTCACTAATCTGTTTGGCGATTTCCCAGAATTTCTGTGGAGAAAGAAAGATTTTCACATTTTTTACCTTTCCAAATTATGGGGTGGCCTACCTGATGTGGGACTGGGAGTTGTTATTTTGGTGCTGATATGCTCACCTTAAAGTTGATTTGTCCATTTGGTAGCTGATTTGAGTGAATTTTGTTGAGAAAGTAAATGTCTTTGATGAAGAGATTAAAAACTGGAATTACAACCTGAAAAAAAAAAAGGTAACAGTTTATTTCCACCTTGCGATTGTTTGCAAATAAATATTTTACTAATTTTAATAGAAAAATTGGAAGAGGAGAATCATGACATTTTATTTTATTCTCTGATATCACGACTGCATTGTGATGGATTCTGTACCTTCTCGCGGTTGCTGTGTGCTGTCTGTGATCGCTGGGCTGCTCCCTGTAGTGCTGTTCGATAGTGAGAGAAATTGCTGGAGGGGTCCATGTGATTCTATTCAAGCAACACAGAGAGAAAAACAACATGGATTAGTTCTAACCTCCTTGCGGGTAGGATAATAAGATGGGCATGTCTGAGTTGTGCAAGGAGGGAGGAGTGCATAGAAGCTGTACAGACTTGAGATCTGCTTCAATCCCTGCTCTGATTGGTGGCAGAGGTTTGTTCTGTGAATATGAATGTGACCAAGAATATTGTTGGGTGAAGAGGTCATTCTTTTCTGGGATTAAGCCTCTGTCCATGCATAATGTCCAATGAATATTAAATGGGTTTTAAAATGCAACATGTTGTCAAGGCTACTTTTAGAATAATAACTGACTTTAGATTTGAACGTGTTCAATTTATATCAGCCACAGCATTAGATAATTTTTTTAATCTGCTTTTGAAAAAAATTCTAATGAAACCTGAACATCTGACCAATTTGCACAGACAGAAACAAGTCACAACATGACTAGAGTTGAGCAGAGGAAGCATGGTACATATATACAGTCAATTCACTTTACAGTATATTCTGTGAAGCACTTTTGAGATGTCTAGAAGATGGGATAAAGCATGATACCAAATGCAAGGATTATTATATTATTATTGTTATATACTTCTGTCTCTGATAGTCTGGAGTTTAAGATGAAGGTGGAGGCTAATTGGAAAATGAAGCAAGTGGCAAGTACAAATGATCATTCATTTATTTTTTAAAAAAATAATCCAAGAGCGGTGACCCTGTTCAACATTAGTCACTTCACTCCTGTGGATGCTGGATCATTAAGGACAGCTACAGCTCAGGCAAGTTCATATCACAGTGATGGTGAACATGTGGGTTCATCCATAGTACTACACTCAGGCAGGGTGACAGAGGTAAATATCAATCTGCTACCAGTTTTACAAAACTGCTTAAAATTGGTTTGGAGAAGGGTAGAGAGAGGTAATGGGAGAGGCGATGGCTTACATGGAGTATAAACACTAACATGCTCAACCTCGGCCAAATGGTTTGTTTGCATGTTTGTTATGTAATTCTATGTTTTACTTTAAATATTTTTACGCACATTGTGAAGCAATAGAACAAAATCAGTCTGGAATTAACATCAAGATGAACTGCCTACACTAATAAATTGCTTGCTCTCTGAGCAGTAGTGCTTTGAAGTTACAAGATAAAAAAATCTTGCCTTTCATTCTGTTAACATATAATAAACACACCCAATGGCATTGACTTTTACAAGCATTTGTGTCATGTACAAACAAACATCTCCTTGACAATAGTTGCTAGCAATTCCACCAAGTACAGGACCATCCAACCAATGCACTGTCTCAATGTTACCAGAAGGTGGTGATGTAACCAAAGATCAGACAAGCCAGTGGCGAGGGTTTACTAAATGATACAACAGAGTTCAACAGAAGGCAACAAAATAATAATAATATTCCTTGCATTTGATATAGCGCCTTATCACGTCTTCAAGACATCTCTCACAGCTCTTCACAGAATATACTGTAAAGTGAATTGACTATATATTTTGTTGGCAAAACGTGGCAGCCAATTATGCACAGCAGTGTCCCACAAACAGTCCCGGATTGAAGTGACCAATTTATTATTTATTTTTTTGACGGAATTATTACCCCCAGAAAAGCAATCCTCCAATCGACTAACAAGCGGGTTCCTATTTACTGTTAGGTAAACAGAGGCGTGTGGACTAAGGAAACTTGCCCAACATTTCACCCCGCCAGGAAGCGAACTCAGGTCTCTCACTTACGAGGTGAGGCTAACCACTGAGCTACTGGACTCCGTATGATGTTTCATAGATTGGCCATTAGGTGTGTGGGGCTCAGAAAAACGTAATGAAATTGTACAAGCGGGCAGATGACAGGTTTCCTATAGGCTCATACATGTTCCAACATTCCTAGTTTAGGAAGGGGGTGGTTCTGTCATATTACATCTTCTGATGAGATTTTGTTCATGGGAATGAGCTACTATGTACCTCATCAACAATAGATACAAGACAAAGAGACACATGCTGAGAAAGGAGGAAATAACAACTTCCAATGCAAAGGAAAACTTAGGCATATGAGATCTAAGTGAAAAGCTACAACAGCTAACTAAAACAGCTAAAAATATTATCAATCAGCAAAGGAAATGCAAGAACCTACTTCAGTCCTTCAGTTGATGGTGCTCACTTTAGTCATCAATATCACCTCAGTGACCATTTTAATTACCAGTACAGTAAAACTCGCAGAAATCTGAACTGTATAAACCATATAATCACCTAAGTTGTGCATCTGCTCAAGTCCCATTGTATTTCCTATAACTATTACAAGTTTCACACAACTCATACTTTGCATAAGTCATATTAAATGTATGGTCCCAATTGATATGTATGGTCCAAAGAACCCTGGCTGTCCAGTGCCCTGGGATGCCTTTCCGACATGAAGGGCGCTATACAAGTGTAATTTCTTGTCGTGGTTGATATGACTTATGTGAGGTTTACTGTATCACTACAGTGACCACTTTAGTTAGCAGCGAGCACTTACTTCTAAGACTTCAAATTTAGCCTTTTTGACCTTCGACCAGGTTTTCCTCAATCTGGCGACAGGGTTCAGGTTCATGCCAGCTGCAGGCAGACGAAAGAAAGAAAACAAACTTAAGAGGAGAAATTCAACTTCTTTAAAGAATGCAGCAAATGAAGAAACCTAGAAATTCTCTCTATGACTACTTGTATTCTTTTACTATTCAAGCAATCAAATGAATTCTACTCACAGATGATAGCCATCAGCGAGTTGAAGTTGCCAATGTTAAAACATTCTCTTGCAACATCGATGAAAAACTCCACCACACGTGTCCTCTGCTTCTTTTTCCCAACCTACAGGTGACAGAAAAGGGATAAGAGAATACAATGAAGCTGAATGTGTATAACAAAAACAATTTTAGAACGTATTACTGAAGAGTGTATTTTGATCTGATTTCAGAGTACATAACTTAAGTGAAAAGACTCCATTATGTAAACAGGTGAGAATGTGTAATAGTGGTTTCTTTCATTCGGTTTCAAATATTGTATTAAAAATAGTCTGTGGCAACAGAATGCTTTCATAAAGAAATTACAGAATTTTAAATTCAATATAAAATTATGATTTTAAAAATTGCATTAACATTCCTGCCCACATTCAGCTGCAAATGCTTGTGATTTTCTGTGTATAGCATAAAATAAAAGTAACAAACCTACACCATGCAATATGGGCAGCTGAAGTGACTAATCATTTACCAGAAAAAAAGTGTCATTTCTATTTACAGTACTTACTCTGCATATTTCAGTAGCTACCAGCGAACTGAGACGATTAAACCAGTTGTCATATGCCTCCAAGTTGTATGTCTTCTTAATGTCACTACGACAACTCTAGAAAAGAAGTAAAATAGAAAAAAAATCATCTTAAAGAACAATATCAGATGTCTGGCTGACAGCCTAATTCTGCAGCTTTGATAAAGATCTTTTTTGATTCTTCTTCTCATTGCCAATTAAGCGCAATGATTTTATGGTTTAGACCATTTGAGAGTGTAAATACGCAACTGCTGTTCAGGGTTTTAGGTTTCAAATTAGCTTGGCACCTTCTCTTTCCAGCTGGTTGTTCACTGTTGGAACTCCATACCAGCTGCAATTCTGATCAGGTATTTACAACTGCATTTGTTTGTCAACATGTTATTTTAGGACTTGAAATTCTGTAATTCTTTTAAAGTTACCGTGCAACAATGTGTCCATTCAGTCCCAGTTCCTTCCTCCCTCATTCTTCAATACTAATAATAATCCTTGCATTTGACATAGGGCCTTATCACGTGAGATGTCTCAAAGCGCTTCACAAATTATACTGTTAAGTAAATTGGCTGTATATTTTGTGGGTGTTATTCGCATCGCTGTCTCTTGGACAAGCAGATCCCACTCCTACACCTAAACCTTTCCCTCTTTGGAATGTTCACACTGGCGGGTACTGGGGGAAGAAAACTGCCCTGGGGATTGGAAACTCACAGTTAATGGGGAAATGTTTTTACTGTTATGAACAATTCACTTTCCACTCATTTCTTTGCACAGTGTTGGAGATATTTTTCCCACATAGTTTTTCACACACCAAAGAATAAATAGAAGCTAAGCTATATAAATGTGGACAATGTTGCTATGCAACTAGAATTAAAATGTGCCTCTTTTGAAAGAAAGATTACAGTAATCCTGGGATAGAACTGAATGGATGAGTTCTGAGCTAAAGTAGAGAGCTTGCTCAAGGTGCGGAGATTCTTCCCTGGTACCTAGTGCATGAAAAGTAAAGGCTTTGCCATGGCTTATTAGACCACACTGTTCATACTATTGCTAAAATAAATACATTATAACTATGCTGGAATCCAAGTGACCAGTTAACCTTCAAGGACTGGAGTCATTTGTTTTACATGTTATGTGATGTTATGTAGATTATCTAATTTAGATAGGAAGAGGAAAATGAGCCTTTTCTTACCTTATGGTTGTCCAGTGAATCCATCTGACTGAATATGTGCACCAATTCCTCTGGTGAGATCTGAGTTAATCGTTCCTAAGGACATCAAGAAACCGACAATTCAATTGATTACATTCAGGACAACGCAAATTCAAAGCTTCAAATATTGATTGACACAAAGGGTTCAGAAATTGGTTTTTCACACCTGGAGTTTAATTAAACAGATGACAGTCCAGTAAGCGATGTGGGTCCCTCATGTAAAAGGATAGTGTTGTAACAAACTTGCCACATTTGCCCAGTCTTAGTAATAATAGTGTGAACATTGTTTTATTATTAGTGATACACCAAACTATACAACATATGGGTGGATCACTGCTGCCGAGTCCAGTAGTTACCTACCATTTCAATATGAGTGAGCTGCTGGGCTACGACACAGGGGTCATTGCATACGCTCAGTATATCCTTCAGACTGGACTGACTCTTGGGTTTGAGGATTGTCTGCTTGTCTGTGACGGAGGGTTTGATTATGTCCCGTGGCTCCTGGTACTGACTGTGGGTTGAGAGTTTGCGGATCAGACTTTGAGTCATCTGACTGATGCTTTTCTTCACACTGGCATTATCCTGATTGGAATGAAAAGGAAACATGAGCCATTTAATAGTCTACACAATGCCATGGACACCGTCCAGCTAGTGTGCATGCAACATGCAGTATGTGCAAGGAACATACACTATTAATATGGGAGGGTGTATGGCATCAATCACTAAACAAATGTGCGTTCCACAACCAGCAAAATAGATTCTTGAACTTTTAAATACCAGTTTATCTGTTGTGAACATACAACGTGCCTAACGTGTAAGATGCACATTGTACTTATCGGAGACTAACATTAGACATATAGGAACAGTCATCTTTTTTCCCCAAATGTACTGTTCAACAATTGATTACAATTTTAAAAGACACTCTTCTGTACGAAGAGATCACTTAGAGGACTAAAGACAGAAAAGTGATCCTGAGGAATGTCTTATGTCAGCACTACGGAGTGCTCTAGAGGTGCATGTTGCCCTCACGTGTGAGGTATGCCCATGTTTTACAGTCAGCTGGATGCTCTAGGAGTTTTATATGATTTCCTTTACAGTTCTCCCCGAAAGATGACATTGGCGGAAACCACAAAGAAGGTTTAGTTTACCAACCTCATTTGGCCACCTGCCCAACCTCTCAGGCTAGGGCTCCACATGAAGCAGACGCAATTACAAAGGAGGGGCATGTTAAGAACAGGGAGTAGAAAAGGAAATATTTACTTATTAGAGCCATTCATCTTTGACATTGGGGATTGAGAACAGTAGCAATGCGTCATTTGCATAGTGATGACGTTTGGATGTTGATGCAACAGACTGTCACACTTCAACCTAATTTGCAACTTTTTGTTGCAGTGTTTGGGAAATACAGGAAAAAAGTTTGACAATCGTGTTAATCATAAAGACTAGTCTCCTTTTACGATTTGGTCATCACGGCAGTGATTTTTCAGAAACAAACTGTAGGGCTGGGTTTGAGGCCAATTTGCAACACATGGTTTTCTTCTGCCCTGGATCCGTCATTTCTTTACGTGCAGCATTTCACTAACGGCTTCCTGTGGTTGCAGCTGTTGTGAGTGGAAGTAGCTGAGGAGCCGAATGCACTGTGCACGTCCAGAGGTCTTAAGATCAGAAGACAGAATGTGCTGGCTTTGATTTACTAAAACATTCCACTAATAGCTGAAGGTAGACTAAATCCCTTCCCCCTCTCCCTTTACATAATATGGATAAGTATTTCCAGACAGTTAGTAATGTCCAAAGTGCTGTTCAACCTTCTCACTGAACTCTACTCCCAGTTCACAGCTTGGCCTCCGTTGTGGAAATGCTTTGTTACTCCCATACATGGAATGAGTTACTGTCAATGGGAGCTGGGTCAAAATCAGACACGATTCAGAAAAGACGCTCCATTTATTAATCTTCATTTGCTATATAAACCTTCATTTCACTTTCTGCTGATGCCTTTGATGATCCCAGGAATGCCTTACAGCTAGCTATACTGGACTCACAGTGAGAGATTTGGCCTGTGGGATTACCCAAGAGTAGGTGATGATATTTTCTGGCAAAGAGGAAGGGAGATGGTCGAGTCCAGGGGGAAATAAAGATCAAATGACTCTTTTTCTAGAAAGGGTTAACAATCCCACACACACTGATTGAACTATCTCTAGCATTAATAATCCTGAAAGTCAACACTGGAGATTCAGGGAGCTGAGAATTCAGGAGTGTTGTGGTTACATTTTTCATGCATTTTTGCACTGCAGACAGAATTCATTAGTCTTGCATGCCTCGGGAGCTCAGTGAACCATTGTTTTAGGTAGCTTATGAGTTTACTACTTCTCAAATTCCTTCTCCCATCAGGAGAGTGGCTAACAGCAGCACCTCACCATGACTGGCATTGTCCTCAAGATATGACATGCCAGGTGGCCAAGCTTCTTTGAAACTTTATGGAGCTATACTCAACTCTCAAACAGAATTTAAGTTCCCCTCCCTCACTGTGTTCCCCCCCCCATCTCACAATCAAGCTGTTTGATGGAGCTGTACACCACAGGGAATGCATTCTCTCTCAAGACAGGAAGCGCTGTCAGGAGTGGTCCGACTAGGGTGGTTTTTTAAAATCTTATTCCTTAGTTAAGAACAGGAAGGGTGGCTGAAGGCAGCATGAATGAACTCATTTAAGAAACAGCTTGACGTTGTAATGGGAAAACGATAGGTTGATATTTTGGAAGAGATTAAATGGGTCAAAAGGCCACCTTCATCAAACCTCGCTTGATGACCACAAAGTTGTGATATCTACCCTATTAACTAAAAAAACAAAAATATCATAATTTCTTTAAGATTTATTAGACATTGTAATGGTATGATAACTTTTTGGTCACCCTGGACATATTAATTTTTCATTCAAATATTAATTTCTCAAAACTTAGCGACAGGTACTAAATTCCTAAAATAAAACGTGCCTTTCGGTGTAGATGAAGATGTTTTCAATTGTTGCAAAGAGCTGCAACAAACCCCACAAAGGATCAGGTACTAAACAACTGAGGATCTAAGAGGAGCATTGATACCACAAGCTTCATCAGCTATACCAGAGATAAACAATAACTGTCCAGCTGACCAAATGAAAAATTTCAATCTTGATCCAGCTCCAGTGGAAGAGTGCTTATCTGCTGGTTATTTACACAACAGGGTTAACTGTGGGAATTCTGAACCCGTTACTTGGATTGTCATTTAATCTATAGCCGGTAGTATGCCGAGAGAAGATGAATATAACAGAATGGGAGAAATAACTGGGCACATTTCAGTGGCACATTTCACTCACTCACCTCATCACATTGCGCTATCTGGAGCGTTATCTCCTTCAGTTCCTTCATTGCCTTCTCGTCCTGAAAGTCGTGTGGGAATGTTTCAGTCCACTCTGTTAGTAGCTGGATGATCTTTGGGACAAATGCCTTCATTTTAACCTGGGAGAAATAAATGATCCAAAATGTCATTGACATGGTATTGACAAAGAACTGCCACAACATCATGATATCTGTGTTGGATTAAAACACACTAGTCCCTGTTAATCAAGATGTTACCTTAGCCTAAATGTAGATACTACATTAGCAGAAAATTACAGAATGTAAATTAGACCTATTACATGCCAAAATACTGACGACCATGCAGAGATTCAGGATATTGAGCATCTGCTCTACTTTTCTCGTGGCAAGAGTATGCTGGAGCTGCCACATTTATAACTGGGCAATGATTATTTATTGCTATCATTTGCAGGAAAGTGAATGGTCAAGATCTCACTGATGATCATATGACTCGAGCTACAACCAGTTTCGACAAGCTCACTTTTTCCTGACCCGTGAATGCTGATTTCAGTTGTGGGCAACCATGGAACTCAAAGTCACAGCCCTTCATTGGAGGGGAATGGAGAGCTTTAATACTCAACTTATCACATCAGCTGTCAAAGGAAACTTCAAATATTTCTTCCAGCAACTGTATGTTGGTGCTGGAAAAAAAAATCTCTCCTTCCAACAGAATGAAAATAGATCAATACCAGGCGTTGTCAGGAACAGTGCACACAGAGCTGGCGATAATCAAAGGCTGATTTAAAAAATTTCTTCCCTGAATCTACCCTGGCTAGTACCCCTGTGAATAACCGTCAAAGTATTGTTTTTGATATGAAGCGATTCAAAGAATTTTTGAAGTTACGTTTTTAGTTTTGATCATTTTCAACGCGGAAGGTCTATGAAAGTTAAACTTTGCACAAGATATAAAACTGTATATTAGCAGATACAAACAGCATTGCTGCCAGTTGTGGGCCAGTCGGTGCATCACACGGAAACTCTGCTCCAACATCATCTACACACACAGTCTCATCAGAGTTCCCACGGGTCAGTATGATGCTTTTACTGGTACCAACATGAGTCACCAATTTTGAGAGTACCACTCGATTAAAATCTCTATGTACTGATTCTTAACTAGAGATACCCCACTCATAACAGTAAAACTTAAACTTAAAGCATGCCACAGTATTCTAACCCTGAACAGTCTAGCCATACAGACTTTTTGATGTACTGTATTCTCCATGACAACTGTTTTCATCTGATTTTGCAATGTCTTCTTACCTCAGCAAAGATAGCTAGGTCCTGTTAAAGGTAACAAATCTCTTGTGTGTTTACACACACACACACTCATCTGTGAGTGCCATACATCAAGATTTGAGCTGGCTTTTCGATGTTGTACAAATATAATGTGATTGGCAGAAACCATGGTGTCTCGTGACTGGCCCCTCTCGATCCCTGTTATTAGGGAATAGGCTGTTGAAATGGTTAACTGGATATTCAGTAATATTGGTGTTCTTAGATTTATGGAAAGAATTTTGCAGCAAATGAGCCATAACATCAGCAGCAATAGCGTGTGAAGCTGGCTGAAGCTGGATTGCTGCCATGCTGAACTTTTTGCATAGCACTGCCTTGTTTTCTCCAGTTTGACGTCACTGCATACAACTTTCGGCATTATGCCAGGAGGCGAATGTTGTCAGATGTTAGCACTCAAAGCTTGTTTGTACTGAGTACTGAATAGGTAGATAAGAATGTGTGTGTGTGTGGTGGGGGGGAGGGAAAGAGAACACATTAGTTCTCTGGTTATTTCCATCGGTTACAATCAATTCATAATTACATTCTAATTCCACAATGATAACAATAAAATTATATAACCAGCTTGTCACTGAGCCAGTTTCCATTGGATAATAATAATCCCTGCATTTGATATAGTGCCTCATCACGTCTAAATACACGGCTGAATAAATATTTGATCTGGTTCTTCATTCTCATGTCACAAGAGTCTACTGATATCCTTGCAAAATTCATGGGATGATAGATAGCTGGCTTAGAGTTACAAGTCCAATTCAATTGGGATATTTCAGTGACATCAAATACCCAGAGACTGAATTACTGGTTTAACCTGACTAACCTGAATAATATAAAGCACTTATTATTTGTTATAATAGCGTACTGCCTTATTGTTTGTTTTTAAATAACAATGTTTTATATTACTTTTCTTATCATTATGCAATATGTATACTAAGGACAGAAATGTAAGTGGAAGTTAGGTGTAATGACCTGACAGGAAGGAACTACAGCATGATATGGCTCTTTTGAAGCTGCATATGAACTTTCTTTAGGGATTTTATACCATTATATAAACCTTACAGTTCTTCTTCCCTATGTTGCTTTCACATAGTCTCATGCCAACTCACTGTTTTCCGTGTCATCAAGAAGTATGTTTTACCTCCATCAGTCTTCCCTTCCCGGTATAGGCTTTTGAAACCCAAGCTTCGCGATACCTGATCTAGTTTCTTTGGCCTATAGTCATGTATTACATTGGGGTCTTGTCTCTTTAACTAGGTTTCTCATTAGTGTAAAACCATCTGCTGCTAGATAATGTTTTTTTGAAAAAGTATCATACATTTCTGTGCAAGTGTACTAAAAAAATTAAACTACCCTTCCTGCTTCACCTTTTAATCTTTTGCGGTCCTATTTCTGCTATTAAGGTGCAACGTTCTGCTAGGCAGCTTAAAGGCCACGCGGAAGCAATCATGAGGTAAAGACATGACAAAGCAATGAAGAACATGAGAAGAATGAGTAGTATCAGGTTTTGGACATCAAAGGCACAGTATGGGTGAAGCCCCTCAATCCTGCCCTGCACTACCAGCTGAGCCAGACAATAGCACAGAACAAGAAATACCATATAAACACCATACAACAGTACACAATGAGAAGGGGGAAATAAAGGGGTGATGTGATAGTAAACAAAAAGTTCTAAGTAACAATATCGCAACAAATTTACAATAAAATAATTTGTTAAAATTATCACTGATAATTCTGCTTGGCATCACTTAGTTGTTTGTAAATATATAAACATATATAGGGAGTATAATAATAATACTCGCAATTTAAATTGAGCCTCATCGTATTGTTGAAATGCCTCAGAGCGCTTCACAGGGTTTCGTCCACGAAATATACAGTCAATTCACTTTTACAGTATAATTTGTGAAGCACTTTGAGAAGATGTGAAATGGTTCTATGTCAAATGCAAGGATATTATTATATTATAATATAGTACAACAGGCCAGAAACCAAGCTTCAACAAACAGTTTATAAAACACAGCAACATATTGTGGGAAGAAGGAGTACTTATTATTTGATTCAGAGAGGCTGCAGACAAACAGATGAGTCATAGCCAATACCCCTAGGCAAAGTCAAATTTAAACTAACAACCGTTAAAACTGCCTTCCGCTACCCAGCTGAATATTTCCATATTTCACAACAACCTTCTGCAAATCGCTTTCCCGCATCACATGCAATTCCTGTTGAACAAATAGCTACAAAATGAGACCTGCCAGATTTCACACATTAGACTCAAGGCTCCTGCATTTGGAGGCTGTCAAACACACATCTTTAAATCTTGTATAGCAATTCAATGGCACGCATTGTCTCATCTGTTCAAGATGACTATTTATTTGGCTAAAGGGGCCTTCTCCCACCTCCATTTTTTCTGAGATGGAATTCTTGACTTATGGTACGGGTATTGAAATAAAGATTGCCTTGATCCATATAGGGCTAGCAGTAGTGATTTTTTTCTCCATTTGCTCAGCGCATACAACAATTGGCCCCTATAAACATAATCCTTACAGTACCAGCAGCGAGAGAAGTGTCAGCTCTCATCTGGTCTATGCTACTGGTGAATAACAATGTTGTCCATATTAATGAATGTAAATGCTGTGGGATTGTAATTTGTACCTTATCTGCCTCAGCTCCAGTCTCCAGCTGCTGCTGCTGCTTTGTGCAGATCTGCCCGACCTTCGCCAGCAGCTCTTGCGGGTGGATGAAGATGCGTGAACTCAGCAGAAAGGTGAAGATATACGTCCTCTGCAATACAGATACATCCTCAATCACTGAATGTTTAAATTGCTTAAAGTTTTGTTTGATGATTGATCATTGCATCACAATGATCTGCGGGGAAAAGGGGAGAGCATTAAGGGGGAAAGAGTCTTGATCAAAAGGAGCAGGCATTCTAGTGAAAGTTAATACTGTGCTCAACCTGCACTGCTGCGAGTTTTAATGACCTTGTTAGAATACAAATATAAACTCATTTCAGCTTTTCCACTTTATTTTAATCCTGCAGATACTCTGCCTTTGCAAGAGGGATTTCTAACCATTAATTAAAACACGAGAGACGACGAATGCCTGGAAATTACTTCCCATGCTGTGAAAGGGGCCATGGGGTGGATGCAGACCTCTGAGGTGATCAGCCTTTTTGCTGATGCTCGGCAACAAGATTGGTAACTGCACTGTAACCACTGAGGTCTAAAGGGGAACAATCTGCAGTCAATAGACTGATTTTTTTCTGGAGCAATTTATAAGTAGTCATCATGCAGGGAAGTCAAGAGGGAGTACAACCTGCAGTTTGTGCCTGGTCTTGCACAACTATGGAGGAAAGTTAAGTATTATATGTGTGGGACCAGTTCACCTGTTGCACACACTTTTACCTACCATAAAGACAAAGGGGAGGGGAGCAGAAGCCTTGCTAAGAGCTCTTACACTCTACCCGTGTAGGCCGTTATATAAATTCAATTTGTTGTTGCCGGTGTATATTTTCAAGCAGAGGGAAGGGGAACACAGATGTAGAAGATCTGTAGATGGGATGGCTTCAGTTTGTATCACAACACTGTGACCCTGATGTTATATTGCTTAGCTGGGCACTGTGCCTACTCCAGCCTTGGAAGTACAGCTGACACAATATTTCCAATAATAATAAAAATAGTTGAGGTTGATATAGGGCCTTAACATGCCAAATTGTCCCAAAACACTTCCCAGAGTTTTCTGTAAAATATAGTGATTGTGTATTTGTAGGCAAATGCAGCAGCCAATTTGCAGGCAAACAGCCAGGAAACTAATGATCAATATTTTATTAGGGGAATTGTTAGCCCAGACACTCCCTTCTTTCTAATACTGCCACGTGAACAGTACTTCTCCAACATTGCTCTGGAGTGTCAATTTACCCTTGACAATAAGGTCAAAGTCTCAACTGGGACTCCAATCATCTGACTCAAAGGTGAGAGTGCTACCAATTGAACTTGCCTGACACCTTTTATGCTGGGATCAGATTAACTACCTACATGATCTCATTGAATTTATGTAACTGGTGTAAATGTAAGTATGAAAATTCTAGTACAAAAGGGCCACAGTTTGTTATCCTTACAAAATTTCAAACTCATTCAAGCACATGCAGACACACACACACACAAAGCATCAGCTCATAACTCGTGCTCTCACTTTCTCATACAATAGATTATACTTGTGGTAGCTCATCAATACTGGTTCAGATAAATTGCTGGCAAAAAAAAGCCAAGCATCTTTGTGGAACCTGCCCCAATCATCAAGTGTATATTTAGGGCAAACGCTGAAACAATTGAAAAACCCAATGGGCTAAGAAGTGAAACAGTTAATACTCACATCAGGATAATAATCAACTGTAGGGACCAAGCGTTCAATGAGCACTTCTAGGGAACCAGAAACGAGACTGCCATCCTGGTACACAGGGTCACTACATTTCTCCTCCATATCTGGTTGTATGTGGCCACTACAACTGGTGCCAAGCATGCTTGGAAAAATGGGAGTCTGGGGCATAGTTTCCTAGAAAGAGAAAAAGATCAGGTCATCAACAATGGGAGTTTTTCTCATTAACAAAATAAACTTGTAGTTTCCTTTTCTTCATGTAGAGGCTACAGAACACACCCATGCTTGCACTCGCTCTGCCAAATTCTCAATCACTGCTTACAATGAGACTATGACTGACTATATCTATGGTCACCTTCTTTCCCCTTCCCACCCTGTTTGGTGTCTGACCCAGTCATTATTATCCTATTTGAAGGGTGCTATATAAATGCAAGTTGTTGTTGAGGACCAGTAGGTGGCAGAATTATTTTCTTGCCCCCTCCCAACTGAACTCGTTGTGCACATCATCCCTACTTACACTGTTATTTCACTGGAGGTCAACACTAATTGCACAGATCAGGATTGAGAAGCATGAACAGGAATTAAGAATGCCTGTAACAGCAAAGGGACCCTCCCTGTCAAAAGAACAGCCCATTTGTCATCATTGTACCTGGCAGACATAGGATTCATATTCAACAGCTCATTCAAGCCTTTCAACACCAAAACTATATGTAATAAATAAAATCAAGAATACAGAAGAGGAGACTGGATTTGGAATCTAATGGTAAAAAGGATTAAAATCAATTATGATCCCCAAAGGACACCAAATGCACTGAAATTCTTTCTGCAGATTGAAGAATAAGACCTGTTTGAATTGTTCGATGACCAGATTGGTTCCCATAGACACTCCCAGGTCTTGCTTATTATCTTTTAAAAACAACAGACTTAACCTTCTCTCCATTGTGTGTTCTTGCCCAGTGCAACAGGATGCTCGCCCACATCCAGCCTGCACTAGTCTTCAGGACAAACATTTGATATGGGCAAAGGAAAACACACCCAACTACATAAGCAGGAACTGAGGAACTCTTCTGTTGTGTTTCCTGTACCCTGATTTCAACCCTGAGAAATAACTTGGTTGTTGGTTTGTAACACAGCATCTGCGACACAACAAACGCTGAAACATAAAGCACTTCACAATACTGTATCGAGGAATTGGAACTGCCCCACAGTGACTCTTTGAGTCACATTTTGATCGATATGTGATTTTTACTGGTTAAATGGGAGGAGGGTGGGGGAATAATAATCCGATTCCCCAAAGCCATCAGCTCGTGTTTTCTCCAGCCTAGTCAAGGAGTGGGAGGGTTACATTACGAAGAACCTCCAACAATACCCCAGGTGAAACTGAGCATTCACTTGGGAGTGGGTAGGACGACGACTCCAAACTAACTATGTTCAATGATTCAGTGGTTTCTACAAGAATGTATTTGCATCACATAAACTATCCCCCCTCCCCCCACCACAACATTTCGACATTTCATGAAACCACCCAGAGCTCAGCAAAAGTCTGGGTAATGTAGTAACGGCTAAATATACTCGACAGTGTTTCATTGTTTATCCCAGTAAAGTCATGGATCTTCTGTAAAAATAGTGTACAGTGTGAACCCTACAGCCGTTACAGAACTGTGCCCACACCCACACTGGCACAGCCCTGAGCCGGTGCCCCACACTGGCACAGCCCTGAGCCGGTGCCCCACACTGGCACAGCCCTGAGCCGGTGCCCCACACTGGCACAGCCCTGAGCCGGTGCCCCACACTGGCACAGCCCTGAGCCGGTGCCCCACACTGGCACAGCATAGTTCTAGGGTTTGTATTGCTTCCACACCCAGTGTCAAGTAAAAACACTGCTCTGAGGATATAGCACTTTGCTCACTCTACTCCGACAAAGAGTAGAAGTCGACAGTTTTCACATTGCTGAAATTTTTCCTCCCTAAAAAAAAATCACACAAAAATGTTTTGCTTGAACTTTTGTCAGCGAGACTGTACTTTGTTCCATATCATATCTCATGTGCTGTAACTATTGGAGATGTTTGAACAAATAACACAGCACAACCTGCCCTGTTCCTCTGTACTATGCTGCGTACGCAACTCAACTGATCTAACAAGAGTTCATGTGGGGCAGAGAAAACACAGTACAAAGTACAAGAATTGGCAAGTTTCTGTCCAGTATTTGCTGTACATGAAATACCAAAACACACAGCACCAGATAAGAGGAAAGCCTCTGCTCTTTTTTCCAGTTTGCAGTACACTAGGAGAGTTAACACTGAAACACAACTGGACACACACCACCCACCACAAGATCTAATCGAAAGTCAGCTTCCATACAATAATCCCTCCAAAACCAAAAAAAAACAATAATAAATTGGTCATTTTCAATCTACGACTGTTTGTGGGACATTGCTGTGCGCAATTGGCTGCCGCGTTCGCCCACAAATATACAGTCAATTCACTTTACAGTGTGTTCTGTGAAGCGCTTTGGGACGTCCTCCCGACGTGAAAAGCGCTATATCAAATGCAAGGATTATTATTATTATTATTATTATTACTGTAACAACAGTGATCGAGTGTTGGCAGCGCTCAAGACACACAGACTCAGCTCCAAGGGCTCTGCTGCCCAGAAATGACCTGTTGCTTAACTGACTGCGGGCAGAGAGGGGTTAGTGCTGAGACAGACGCTCGACACCAAAAAGCTTTGGATAATCCAATGCTTACTTACGCCTTCCGGAGTTTATCATCGAAACACAAAAGTGCCAAAGCCTTTGCAACGGTCGCAAGGGATGAGCACCGAGACAACACGGGACAGATGCACAGCCACACGGGGGAACTGGTCCGTATTTACTGCGGTGGGTTTTTTTTTAAAAAAAAAGAAAGAAAAATAGAAAGAGCGATCCCCTCCAACATCAGGCAAATCGGGATTCAAATCTTATCCATGAAAATTCAAAGAGAAAGTGAGCCCTTACCCTCATCCTCGGCGATGGTGCGCAACACGCAGAGACTCCGCTCTTTTTGCTGGAAGGCTGTTGGTTTGCGGGAGGGGGGGAGTGGGGAGGGGGAGTGGGGAGGGCTGGAGTTTGGGCAATAACAGCCAGAAACTGGAGCTGCCAACTTTCACCGAAAGAAAAAAAAAAACTGATTTGACACCCAAAGACCCAAAGAAATAATGGCACACGGGAGCGCTCCCCAGAAATCAACCCCTCCCGACAGCAGCACCGGCTTCACAGGGCATTCCCTCCCTCCCTCCCTCCCTCCCTCCCTCCCCTCCTCCTCCCCCTCTGCGGCTGTTGTTACCGAAGTCGATGACTTCTACGAGTGGAAAAAACACACACACACACACACACACAAGAAGAAAAATTTCCGATGGGTAACTCCCACCGCTGTGTGTGTCTGCGCTGCGCTGCTCTGCGCTGTGCCGTGTGAGAGCTTCTGTAAATAAGGAAGCAGACTTCAGCCCTCCTCCTGCTCTTCCTCTTTACACACATATATATATATATATATATTTGGCACAGGATCCGAACTAACAGGTTGGGCAGAGTTCCTGGGCTGTCCTTCGCAGCGAGACAGAGATTATACACTACTGCACTTCACAGACCTCGGGCAGCAGTCATCACCACAGCGGTGCCTCGTGTTAGGGAGAGTCTCAAAACTTCACCCAAAGCCCCGAGTGCACATGATTTGTTTGGGATGATCCGTTCTTCTTTTATAATAATAATAATAATAATAATAATAATAATCTCTGCTGATCTCTTGGGCGATGGAAATGGTCCCTACTTTTCCCGACTCGCACAATGCTGTGTGTAACCTCGTGCGTAAGTGGCCTCTCCGAGAGTGACTGTTCCCCGGTACGGTTACTGCTTTGCCTTAAGATCAAGTAAGGTCGAAGAGATCAAAGCAACAACGCAACGCACCTAAAAGTAGTAACTCGCAATGCATCGGGAGGATTGAAATCCAACAGAGCCCACAACAGCACACTCCCACTGCACTTTGCCGTGATAACATCAGTGGAGTCAGAGTCTGCACCAGTACCTTAGATAGGAAGAGAAGTACAGGACGATAGGAGCAGGAGACCATTCAGATCACAAGCCAGATCTTTTAATCCTATTTCTCCACTTTTCCCCATACCCGTACTTAAGAAACTATCCAGTCCTGTAGCTCAGTGGTTAGAGCACTCGCTTTGCAAGCGAGAGACCTGAGTTCAATCCCAGGCACAGGGCGAAACCTTGGGCAAGTTTCCTTACTCCACACAGAGCCTAATAATAATCCCTCCAAAATCAAAAACAATAATAAATTGGTCATTTTCAATCTACGACTGTTTGTGGGACATTGCTGTGCGCAATTGGCTGCCGCGTTCGCCCACAAATATACAGTCAATTCACCTTACAGTGTCTTCTGTGAAGCGCTTTGGGACGTCCTCCCGATGTGAAAAGTGCTATATCAAATGCAAGGATTATTATTATTATTATTATCCACATGCAACTCCAGTTCAAATATCCCAATCGATTCTGCCTTCTGCAAACACCAATTCCTTTACATGTCTCCGCAAGTAACTCAAATGCAGTCAATACTTTCTCAATCTTTGATGGAGGGGCTATTATCATTCGATTATTAGCTACGAAACACGATGATTAGTTCTTATTTACACATTCAAATTAGGTTTGTTCAAAATATGCTTTGCCCACATTAGACTGGAGAACTGTAATTATTATGATATTAGAAATGACACATTATTGAATTGGGCCAATTAGTCTCAATTCGCATCATGTAATTTACATCATGTAAATTAAGTGAAAATAGTGTTTAAATCGAATCTTTTCAATTGCTGAATCGCAATCAAATTGATTTAGGGGATCAGTGCACTCTGAACAACTGACGTCTGATGTTCCTCTCTCTCCTCCCTCCACCTGGAAAGACAGTGATGGTGTAGTATTTGCTGCTACAGTTTTGGCTGTTCTGCACCAAGTAATAATAATAATGTCACCACAGCAGAGCAGCATGAAATGGTGAAATGGTGAGAGCGAAGAGGATGGGGAAGGGGTGGGGAGGGGGGGGGGGGGGGGTGTGTGTGGGGGGGTGGAGAAAGAGAACTCACACAGTATTGACAGGGTGGTTGGAGCTCCACCAACAGAACATCAACAGCAAGTGTTTTTTCAGATAGTCCCTGAGACACTCACACACACATGCAGAGGCCCAGCTTTGTACACACAGGGAAATAGGAGCAGCTGAAATTCAAACGTACGTTCATGGCCAGTGCTTCCTCCTGGCATTTGGTTTGACATCAGCTGAACTGGAGCACTTTTATGTACCTTGATGTTCCACACAGAGCTTGTGAGCAGAAGCGTCACGGAACCAAATGTTGATCCCTTACAACGATGCTTGGTATTTTTGCCCACAGCGTCAGCTGCTATTTTTAAACTCGAGCATAATATGTTTTCTTCCAAAAAAAAAGAGTTTATTGCTAGCACATACCAGCCATACTCTCTATCTCACACAGTTGCGTGATATGGCTTTCATGGTAGATGTACAAAGTTGCAGCTTTATTGACAATCCAGTGATGTAGTGATAACACACTGCTGGTGTTTTAACGTGTGTTCTAACAGAAGTGAAATATTTATCCGAAAAGGGGGCATGGTCTTAGTTTTACTGCTGTCACATCACTTTACTGTCCAATTCACTTTAAAGTATATTCTGTGAAGTCCTTTGAGACTTCTCGAAGCTGTAATAAGCCGCTATATCAAATGCAAGGATTATCATTATTATGATTTACCAGGCTTTGCTGGTGTCTTAACCAGATTGTTTTTGTATTGTTTCCTCCTCAACACTGATCCACCCTAACGTCACCTACTGTGGGTTTGGGGGAAGGGTATCTGTGACCCCAGCTCCCAGGCCACACAGCAGCAAAGCTCGGAAATGTGGAAGGGCAGGTTCTCTGCTTCTCACCCGTCACTGTGGGGAAACACCTGGTCATCTTCAGAGCTTCCCGCTGGGTGGGGTACAGAATGACAAATCATCAGAGGTGGAGATTGTGGGCACACGCCAACTTGTTGCCCTTCACAGCTGACATTTACACAGGGACATCTCACACAGGAAGGCATAAAGTAAAACAAAACAAACCTACACGCAGTACTTCAATAACACAGGGGAGAATGATTCATTCAGCAGTGCCTCCTCACTGCCTTTTCACCTCGACGATTAAGTCCAATAGGATGAAAATCTCTTCATCCTGAAGCCTGGAAGATCCTGTGTGAAATGAGTTTAGACTTTCTCAATCCACAGTGAATACCGAAACAGCACAAAAACATTTACACTTTGGCCTAAAAGTACTAAAGTGTCAGGTCACTCACCGGGGTTATAATAACGGGAAATAGGGTGTGCGGGGGGAATTCATCTCAAAAGAAACCTGGCATAAGTAAGGATACCATGGGTTAACAAATTTACCTCAAGCTGTCATTTGGACTTTATTTTGAATGGTTGTTTCTGTCACATTTTTAAAAAAATATAAGTATTGAGCAGCCTTGTGATACAGCTGTGACAGAGGTGGGGGTGCTGGCGAGGTATGGCTCATATCCCCGTATTTGGCTCGGGTGCTCTTAGCAATGATGAAATTCCTCTTTACGCTTTTCACCTTTCACCTTCTTAGCAGTTTCACTAAACTCCTGTGGAGTCCAGTAACTCAGTGGTTAGAGCACTCGCTTTGCAAGCGAGAGACTTGAGTTCAATTCCAGGCAGGGCGAAACCTTGGGCAAGTTTCCTTACTCCACACGCCTAATAATAATCCCTCCAAAAACTAAAAACAATAATAAATTGGTCATTTTCAATTTACGACTGTTTGTGGGACATTGCTGTGCGCAATTGGCTGCGGCATTCGCCTACAAATATACAGTCAATTCACTTTACAGTGTGTTCTGTGCAGCGCTTTGGGACGTCCTCCTGACGTGAAAAGCCCTATATCAAATTATTATAATAATCCTTACATTTAATATAGCGCTTTTCACATCCTCTAGACGTTTCAAAGCGCTTCACAGAATAGACTGTAAAGTGAATTGACTGTATATTTGTGGGCAAAATGCGGCAGCCAATTGCGCACAGCCATGTCTCACAACAGTCGTGGATTGAAATGACCAATTTTTTTTGTGGGATTATTACAGGCGTGTGGAGTAAGGAAACTTGCCCAAGGTTTCACCATGCCTACAATCGAACCCAGGTCACTTGCTTGCAAAGCGAGTGCTCTAATCACTGAGCTATAGGACTCCACAAAATAGTCACACTTCTCCAGTTATAAAACATTTGCAAAGGCCAGCTTTGCTCGTCACATGACTGGTTATGTACATACACAGAGGAAACATCTTATCCTGAAGAATATTTGGAAATCGCAGTTAGAGAATTGTGAAATGCAGCACGCTGTCTGGTGCACAAGAGGCACAGCTGCACAAGAATGGATTCAACAACAACAATTTGCACTTATATAGCACCCTCCACGCAGGGTAGCGTCTCAGAGCAGTTGTGGTATGTAACCACACAGACACAAGACAGCATGGTCTTCCCTCTAACAACTAGAAAGTCTACATTACATCGTCTCCTCACGATAGAACTTTGATCTCAGCCAATTGTACATTTCCTGCCGTGCTGTGCTGAACACTTTTACAGTTGGTCGTGCAGTTCAAAGGCTCAAACCTCAACACGATGCCCTGTCAAAACCCCACTCACCCACCTCCAACCCTCTCTCATCACATGCCTTCACATTGCGAATTCAATGCATTTGTCAACAAGTTTGAATTGTTGAAAATTCAAATACACAGTAAGTAGGGAATTCATCAGCTTGCTCTGTTACCACTCAGGCAGGCAGTCAATCGGTTTAAAGTGGATGTCAATAGCAGAATCCACCTGCTCCTAGGAGTTCTATTGTCAAGGTCATCAAGGCCAAGCACAAGATGCTTCTAGAATTTTCCAGGCACGTTTTCAACCCTGGGATGTTTAACTGTCAATATGTTTGGAAAGCTCTGTGTAGATTGCTGACATCAGTGAGATGCAAGGAGCAGGAATTTGTTTTCACAGATGTG